ATGGCCTTTACGCCTGAATTTTTGCCGCAGATTCCTTGGAGCCGTGCCCCTCGTCCCCCGCCTGCCTCCCGGCCCACACCAGCTTTCCATCTTCGTGGTACCCCATCCCGAGCCGCGCCCACCTCCGAAATGCCAAGGGCTGCGGTCCCCTTCTGATCCGTCCTGTCGCTTCCCCAAGGCCCACCCACCCGGACAGTCCTGAGAAGTCACCATGGCACAGAGGAAAGGGCCCAGCGGGGAACTCGGGCAAACCCTCGGGCTCCCACAGCCCTGGCAGGTGGGCAGCCTTCATTTCTTCCTCCCCGCGGGGTCACAGAGATGAGGACGTGACTGTCAGAGCCCTGGAGGGGAGGGCGGGGGCCGTAAGTCATAGCGATTCCATGAGCTCTGCTACTCTGCGCGTCCCCCATCCGGAAAGTGCGGCCACCCCCCCCCCCGAACCCTGACGCTGAAAAAGATGAATTAATGGATGTCACTGGTCCTCAGCCTCTGGTGACGCCGGCTGTAATGACATCTTCACCAGGACCTCGAAACCCACGTCTCCTGAGTCACCGGGCTCTCCCGTGGTTCCATTTAAAATCTAACACCTGGTTATGAACGTTCAATGTTGGGGGCAAAGCGTCCCGCGTCTCCTCCATCCAGAAGCCACCCCTTGTCTCATTTGAAAAGTCACGGAGGTGTCACTTAACATCCGTGAAGTTCCCGGGGCGACCTGGGTGGGCAATGCGTTGTTTGTTTTGTTTTGCTGTTCAGTTAAATTCTGTCAGTGCAAGCTCGTGGTGGGGAAGGTCGATAGGTGACCTGGCTCCAGCTGTGTAGTCATGTTGTTTAGGGACCAGAGGGTCCCCTGGACGGGAGCTTGACCTCAGCGTCACGTCTTTTGAGGCTGAAGGCTAATTCACAATGCTGCTGAACAAACACAGCGCGCTCTGCCCAGGGAGGCAGCCCATTTGCCGTTTGTCTCCTGCGTTCTTACGGCTGAGGGAAGGGGGCCAAGAGGTGACGGGCGAGGCAGCTCACAGGGTGGGATTCACACCTGGGCCTCCTGGGGCCCGGCTCCCGGAAACCTCCGTGTCTGCGTTTCTGCAAGGGGTTCAGGGTCCCGGCCCCGAGCTCCCCTCCCAGCCCTCCTGCCCCTTGTGGACGCCTGATTCCTTCTTGAGAC